ATGAAACATGCGACTCTAGTTTGCTTGGAAAGATGAGTAAGTCACCTTTCACTAGTTCTTGTGAAAGTGGTGAAGGATTTTTGGATCTCATACATACAGATGTGTGTGGGCCGTTCAGATCCACCACAAGGGATGTAAATATCTTTTATGTGACTTTTATGGATGATTATAGTGGATATGGATATATCTACTTAATAATCATAAGTCAGAGACCTTTGAAAATTCTTTCGAATTCAAACATGAATTCGAAAATCAATTAGGCAGGAAGATTAAGATGCTCAGATCCGATAGGGGCAGTGAGTATCTTAGTATCGAGATCCATGAATACCTGAAGGAATGTGGAATTTATTCACAATTGACACCTCCTAGGACACCACAAATTAATGGTGTAGCTGAGGGGCGTAATCGAACCTTGTTGGACATGGTTTGGATCCATGGTGATTTGAGCTTTGCTTCTGATATCATTCTAGGGGTATGCCTTAGAGACTGTCACCCATATCCTTAAACTAGTCCCAACGAAGAAGGTTGTCAAAACACCTCACGAGATGTGGACAGGGAAGGTTCCTTTGTTGGAACATATCAAGGTTTGAGGTTGTGAAGCTTTCGTTAAATGAGAGACTCACGACAAGATTGAACCTCGAAGTGAGTGATGTATTTTCATAATCCATCCACAAAAGCCCTTTGGATACTTGTTCTACATACCTAGTGAAAACGTGTTCTTCCTAGCACGAAGGGGAGTCTTTCGTGAGAGAGAGATCATATGCAAAGTGGAAAATAGGAGCACAACTGATCTTCAAGAAATTCATGAGTCAATCGATGAAGAAACATCTAACACTATCGCTCAATTCGAGGAAAAGATTTTTGTTGAACCAGTTGACGATTCGTTACCTCTTAGATATTCCACTCGAGTTAGAATGGCACCAGAGTTTTATGGTTTCCATACGACTATAGATGGTGATATGTTTATCAGTGATAGTACACTGGTAAATTTGTATGAGCCTTTTAACTACAAGGAAGCTATGGTGTGCCCTGAGTCTACTAAATGGAAAGAGGCAATGGACAGCGAGATCCAGTCCATGTATGACAACCAAGTATGGAATTTGGATGATAATGTGGGCAGGTCGTAAGACAGTTGGGCGCCAATGGATCTTGAAGAAGAAGACCGACATGGATGGAAAGGTGCACACCGTCAAAGCTCGACTGGTTACTAAGGGCTTTACTCAAACCCCAGGGGTTAACTATGACGAGACCTTATCACCAGTGGCTAAGATTAAATCTGTTAGGGTTATGTTAGTCATAGCTATGTTTCATGATTATGAAATCAGGAAGACGGATGTCAAAACCGCTTTCCTTAATGGAAAGTTGGCTGAGGATGTTTACATGAGTCAGCCAGAGGGTTTTGTGGATGATCAATACCCAATAGAATGTGTAAGCTCAAGAGATCAATATATGGATTGAAACAAGTTTCTTGTAGATGGAATCTTTTCTTTGCTGAGAAGCTCAAAGAGTTTCTCTTCTCTAGAAGTGATGATAAATCTTGTGTATCTGTCATGACTAGTGGGAGTATAGTCACCTTCCTGGTACTATATGTTGATGACATACTACATATAGGAAACGACGTTCCAACTCTACATGAGGTTAAGTACTGGCTTGGAAAGTGTTCCACTATGAAGAATCTAGGAAAGGTTGCCTATATTCTGGGAATAGGGATTTTGAGAAATAGGAGCAGAAGGCTAATTGGACTTAGTTAAATCACATATTTGGATAAGGTGCTAAAGCGTTTTAGCATGGAAAATTCAAATAAAGGAGAGTTACGTATCTAGAGTAATACCAAGCTGAGTAAGACTCAGAGTCCGAGTAACGATACAGAAGTAGCAAAGATGAGTCGAGTTCCATATGCTTCTGCCGTTGGCTCGATCATGTATGCTATGACATGTATTCACCCTGATGTGGCTTTTTCTTTAAGAATGGTTAGTCGATATCAAGGAAATCCGGGTAAGGCTCATTAGATATCGGTTAAGAACATCCTTAAGTATCTATGAAGGACGAATGACTAGATCCTTGTGCTTGGTGGTAGTGATGACTTAAGAGTCGCAGGGTCTATTGACGCCAACTTTCAGACCGACAAACACAATTTCCGGTCTCAGTCAGGTTGGGTGTTTACCCTCAATGGAGGAGCAATAACTTGGAAAAGTTCTAAGCAAGAGACCATAGTTTATTCAACATGTGAGTCAGAGTGTATTGTTTTAAGAGAAGCATCAAAGGAGGTTGTATGGTTGAAGAACTACATTTGTGACCTTGGAGTTGTGCCAGTCATTAAGGAGCCGATGGAGATTTCTGCGATAACGAAGGAGTGGTTGCTTGGCCAAGCAACCAAGGGATCATATAAGATTTAGGCATATCGACAGAAAATATCATTTTATCATACATCAAGTAGAAGAAGGACACCTCGTCATTAAGATGTTATTATCAGAAGAAAATCTTGTCGAACACCTCACAAAGGGTCTAAGTAGGATTAAGCACATTCAACATACTGGAGAATTGGTCTGAAGGATGATATTAATTTTAGTGATTAGATAGATATTTAGAAACTTGTAACAAATAAATGTAATTGACATTTGATGATTGATAATTGGAGATTTATTTATGAATATTGTTTACTATCTTTTGTCAATTGTTTATCTTTGTGTTTCAACTTTGCATGTTTTACTTCCCGAATAATTGGATTTTTCAAAACATCCACAGTCGATCATACTTTAGAAGTGAGTAGTGAATTAATATTGTCGTGAATTGGATTGTAGATTGTATAAGGGTTCAGACATAGCAACGGTTTGCTGCAAGATTCATGAGTACTTCTGAAATGGAGATTTGAGTATTGGATTAACCCAGGATCAGAGAATTACTTCATGGAATTTATCATGAGCAATTCTGTTTGTTAATGCGTAAACGCATCGGTAACTTGATGTTATAAAAGGTATTATTGTGTGTGATTTGATGAGTAAATAGTACAAGCATATAAGTTAAATTTTATATGTTCCTTTTTCCCTAAAGGGAAAATGCGATATCTTGGGACCCTCGATGATTTGGTGTTGACTTATGTGCCGGGCCCGGTCATGACTAAATTGATGTGTTCAACTAAGTTCTCTATCATTACAAATCAAAAATAGGGAAACAAATTGTTGGATAATGAAAATGATTCTATTCCATGTCATTTTTCCACATGATATCTAGTAGAACGAAGGATTATATGATTCTTTATCTTAGGATACGTAACTGACTAAGTCAGAGTTTGATAGCGGCTTTTGAGAGCTACAATATGTTGGTCAATTTTTGAAGTTGTACTTGTAGTTATAGTTATTAGACTTATCCATGTGGGAGACTGTTGGATTAGGTGTCTTAGCACATAATTATAGTTGGTATATACTTCAATTGATAGTATCACAGTCCTTTTGGGTTACCTTCACTCTTGCAACTTGACATGATGACTTTTGGAGAGAAGTTGAATTTATTATTTGGAATAATAAATTGATATAAATGATTTATTAATATATTATGATAAATATATATTAATTAGAAATCACGTTATTTAATTAATATTTAATCATAAATTAATTTGGAATTAATTTTTGGATTAAAGGAGTTAATTAAAAGTACATGGGTTGCTTTGTAATTAATTGATAGTTGTGAAATAGGGGTCTTGGACTACTTAGATAGGTGTGGACAAAAATTATAGGGAGGCCCTATAAGTTTTCGTCCAAGGCTTCTAGATGAGGAGTCCATGGGCTGCTTAGGTCTTAAGCAAGAAATTAGGGTTTCCACCTGCAAACCCTAGCTTTAGGACTAAACAACCTCAAGTATAAAAAGAGCCTAGCCCTTTGGATTTTCGGCCACTTGCTTTTAACCCTAGCGTAGCCAAAATTCTGGTGCTATCTCCTCCTCTCTCTACTCATCCTCTTCTAAATAGTGTTTGTAAGCCATTAGAGGTGTCACATTTGAGGCTGATCACCAATGTCTAAAATAAGTTGCTCGTTATTCATTGCATCAACGTCTAGAATGAGTTGATCATCATTTGTTGTTTCAGACTAAAATACATCCATTTTTCCTTGATTATCCTCTCGTGGTACTTTATACAGATCAGAACGTAAAGGAGTTACAGTAGAAATCACAAGTTCTTGACTATTCTCCCCCATTTTGGCATTGTTATTTTGGGTAGGAGTATCATGGGGTGGTGAGGGAGTGTGAGGAAGAGGATTTATTGGAGGTGGAGGAGGGTTATTTCTCGGCGAATCTGAAGGTGGATGATTAGTGTCAGATGGTGATGGGTGAGGATTATTTTTAGGAGGAGGAGGAGGTTGATCATCACCTCGAGAGTTAGGAGGTGTGTCTTTAATCATCATATCATCATCATTACCCAAAGTCATTGTGTGTGTTTGATGTCAGCCACATTTTTCTTTACTTTAGACAATCTTTCTCCAAGAGATTGAGTCATCTTAACCAATAGGGAAGTTGGTAGAGCACAAGTTTGAAAGTTGGAACTAGACTCCCCCTAAAAGGTAGCAGAAGTTTGTATAGGAATTGGCATTGGGGGCAGTTACATCTTGATGGGAGGAAGACACTGATCTTGGAGAATTCACATCTTGAATCAATGGATCAGTAATTTGAACTTGAGGTGGGGTTGATCCGTGTTGTAATATATCTTCTGCTGAAGGAGTTGTTGATGAAGTTAAAGTCAAAGAGAAGCGAATATGTTGGTTCAATCTTAGAGGAGAATTAGTCATTCCCTGAATAGAGGCTTCTCATATATCAATGTCTAATTCATCATCTTCATCATCATCAACATCTTCTTCATCATCAACGCCATTAGTATCATCTTCATTATTGCCTTTATCGTCCACTTCTTTAGATTTATAAGTTTCAACAACATAGGGATTTGCAATCCAATTCTCCATACTCAGGGTACGATGCATATCTCCATCATAGGGACCATCATTGATGATTTTTTATGAAAGAACTGGAATTGGTATGGTGACTCCGTGATTGGCATTATAACCCTCTCCATTACGAACCAAAATAGGTGCAAGACAATGAGGATAAGGAACATATGTTGCCTTCTTACTCCCAGTGATACACTCAACAAGTTGATCGAAGAATATTTGAGCAAAATCCAGTCTTTTGTTGCAGGTCATAGCGTACAAGATTCGTTGCTCAAATAGGTTTAATTGATCTAGGCTTCCAGTCTTATGTCTAAGAAATTTTCCAATCACCCCTGATAAGTACTTCCACCCTGCACAATAGCATTAATGGAGGGTGTATTTGGTTGGTTCACGAGTAGTACCCTAAACAGAAAAGTTATACCCGAATCTTGAAAGAATAGACTTGAATCTATCTTTAAAAGGGGTTTTGGAATAGTTTTAAGATTGGGGAAGACGTAGAGCAGTTCGAAAAGATGTTTCATAGATAACAACCCTAGATTGATCGTCTCTAATGGTTCTGGTAATGGTTTGAGTATTAGAATCGACAGAGCACGAATAGTAGAACTCACATACTTGCTTAGGGTCGATTGGATCTAGGAAATCACAAAATTCATAGCAAAAAGGGCAACTTTTGACATAGTTGACGAAGTATTAAATCCCTGAGTTCTTGTACTGATTTGGGATAACATCAGAGAATGCCATGTTGTTTGCTTGAATGACAATGGGAGAATCAGGAGCATGAGGGCCTTTGGTCACATTAGCATCAAGACTAAACACATAGAGAACTTTCTACATGATAAAGAATTGAGGAAGATGATGTTGGAGAGATATTTTCTTGAAAGATATTAAACTGCTCGAATAAGTTGTAGAAGTGACCTAAGAGAGAGAGTTTTCCTAATTTATCCATGAATGTTCTTCCCTTTTACATAATCATGATTGGAGAAGGCGGCATCGTAAAAATATCGCATTTTAAGATATTGTTACGCCTTTTAATCACCATCCAAAATTTAGCATTGAGATAATTGAATTGTGTATCAGTGAGACATAGCATCAGTGACAATAATCATCAGCGAAAGCAGTCAGGGTATCAAAATTATCCTATTAGCGTATCAGAGTTATTTCATCAACGTATAAAAAATGCAGCTGACAATCAAGTGAGATTGTGACGTCTCCAAATAGTATGGGTTTAGACTATTATTCACCGGTATAGTGTTGCGAAGTCTCATCGGTGTATGGTTTTATACGTTATATCATCAACTTCATTTATTAGAAGAATAAAGGGCGTGAATAAAATGATGCGTGTAATACATTCCGGTACGAAATGTACCCATCAGAAAAGAATGTCAAAGTTTTACCAGTGTATGGAAAATACAATGAATCATTAACTTATTTAATAGAATATTTGTTGGGAAAGAATAGGTAGGTGTGTGTGATACATCAAGGGATATGATATACCCATCAACACAGAGTTTCCAAATTATCATCAGTGTCTAGCTTCATACGATAAATCATAAATTTGTAAAGAAGAATGTATGGCGAAAATGGATTGGTGCTTGTGATAAGCTGCGGTACATAGCCTAACCATCGACGCAATTTTTTCAAGTTCTCATCAGCGTATGGTATATTATATTGAATCATAAATCTGTTAAGAAGAATTTATGGGCCAGAAAGGATTGGTGTGTGTGATAGCCTACAATACATAGACTAATCATCGACACATAGTTTCAAGCTTTTATCAGTGTGTAGTTTATCACAGTGAATCGTTAAGTTTTATCAAGAAGAGTTTAAGGATAGAATGGAATGTTTCAATCATGTTGAGTTGGAATCAGTGTGAATCATAAAGTGTAAACTTATCAACAACAAGTGGTTTATATTTCATATCATAAATTTAAGTTTCAGTCTAGAATTTAGAATTCACCATCAATTTATTTAATATGGTACAGGATAATAAAATAATGAAAAATGCAATGGCAATAAGAGAATAAAACAAAAGAGTTAGTCAAACAAGGAAGTTTTCTAAAAATGAAAATGTGCAACTTTTTCAGAAATGAGATAAAGAAAGGTTTAACAAACCTTTTCAATTGAAAGGCCATAAATGAGTTTCCTTTCTTCGAGATATTTACCCATCTATACTGTCTATAAAAGGATAAACAAGCAAGATCATTTATATCAACATAAAAAATAATTCGTAGCAAACCAAGAGAGAAGATGACCTTAATCGTTGAGGTATTGCAGATTGACTCCAAGCTTCATATTCACCAAGAAAAAGAGAAGAATAAGAAACAATCTTTGTAACCCACGAGTAAATGGGATCCAATCTTTGTAACCTTCAAGTTATGAGGGTCACCAAGACAAGAATCAAAGGTTCTATACATTGAGATCCGTGATTGAAGAGATGATGAGTATTGTCTTGTTGAAGAGGTCTTTTGATCTCAGATAGGAATTAGTGTAGCAGTGACAGTGTCTATGGAAATTAGACATGCCACACTACCTAGATTCACTTCATCCCATTACAACCAAAATAGGTAGTCAGAGAAGGAAGAGGTTTTTTTCCAGAAAAACAAGTTTAAACATAGTTCTCTCCTATCTGGTCTCATCGATAGGATGCTTCATCGCATTCATCGTGATCATCAGCATTAGGGAGAAAGCAGTTGGTGCTGAAGAAAAGATGGATAGTCAACCCCAACTACTCTTACTCTGAACAATTAAGTGTAGATCTATTAAGCTGAAGATCCCGCTTTCTCCGTAATGTTGATTATCACTCTCTATGTTTCATGACCAACTGCTCTCTCCCTAATGTTGATAGATCTACAATTAATTGTTCAAAAACCCTTGACTACTCCTTCACTACTATCCCCAAAAACTACAATAGGACCATCTTTCTCCACAAAATATGTTAATATGAACTTGAGACCAGTCATGTGTCTAGAGCATCCACTATCAAGAAACCAAGCATGTTCTAGATCCTGACGAGTAGAAGAGACATTCCAACTTTTCATCTTTGATTCTTTGACATCTTAAAGAGTATCAGTGTCACACCTGTTGGGACCACCATCGGGGGCATCATTGATAAGATCCATAAGACCTTTAACATTTAACCCTTCGTCTTCAGATGTCTCCTTTTCTTCAACCCATTCCTCAAATTCCTCCTTCTTTGCAATGAATCCTTTGGCAGATAGATGTTCTCCTTCTTCATTTGGGCTAGCAGCTTCTTGTACACGACTTCCTAATTCTCTAGGCTTTGAGCATCTTTCTTCTCTTTATAGTCCCTAGAAAAATGGTCAGGGCTTCCACAGTTAAAACAGTTACATGAGTTTCTTTTCTCTGAGTTGAGCCTTCTCACTGAACTACATTCCTTGTAATAAGCTCTTCAGACTCCGTTTGATCTAATTTCTTCATAGCGTTTAACAATAAGTCCAGCACTAGCAAATAGTTCATCAGTAATTTCATCATTAATTGCTTCACCCTAATTAGAATCATCAGAGTCGCTGATGAGATTCATTGCTTCTTTTTGAGAGACCAAGGCTATAAAAATCTCTTTGTTTGAGTCATTCATGATGTCTTTACGAAGAGATTTGGTTTCTTCGTTGTTTTGTAGATTTCCAAACATAGAGTTGAGATCCATAAGTTTAATATTTTCACTGTTCTTAAGAACATTAGCGTGATGTTACCAAGAGAATCCAAGAATTTTAAAACCAACTGAGAGGAATGCTTAACAATCCCTTACCTGCACATATCATTCACCAAATAGTTAAACATGTTAAAGGTTTGAGTTAGAGTCTCACCTTGTTGAGAAAATAAATGCTCATATCTCTGGTTGAGATGGTTGATGGTTGTTAGCCTCTTCATCATCTCTTAAGTTAACTCACAATTTTAAACAAGATGATACACATGATAAGGAAGATAGTTTATTATGGCTGCCCTTGCTTTCACATCAAGAATGATAAGTCTCCTGTCATTATCGTCATAACTGGCATTTGGCTTTTACTTCAAGGGACCAACAGGAGCATTGTCAACCATAGGTTGCTACATAGGAACATGTGGACCATTGTCTACGATGTTAAGCATATCAAAATCCATGATTTTAAGAACAACCATATCCTTTGATTTCCACATTGCAAAGTTGTGTTCATCAAAATGAGGGATCTTGTTGAGAGTAGACGACTTGGGATTATGGGAGGTTGACATGATAACTTAAGTGTATCTTAAACCCACTCTAATACCAATTGAAGGTTTATATCGATCGGATACACTCAAGTATGAATAGAAAAGATTAAATAGAAAAACTAAAGAACAAAAATAATCACAAAGATACTTTCACTAAGAAAGAGGGTTCTCACAAAGAGAAAAAGGTCACAATGACGGTCCCCAAGACTACATTAAGGTTTCACCCTAATGTTGATTATATACAATTAAAATAACGAATATCCCACTAATTAAGGGATGTATACTAATCTATGTAAATGCTTGATCCTAATCACTAAGATTATAGTTCCAACATCTATTCTATATAGACACATATAATTGCCTAATATACATATATCACTAAGATTATAAGGTCAATGTTGATGATGACTAGACTGAGATCGGCGTTGTACTGACGACGTTGGCGCTGACAGTCAGTGTGTAGTGTTTGACTCATCAGGTCATAAGGAGTGACCTTACAATATATTACAAATAACTTGTCACACCCCGAACCATAAAACAAACGGCGGAAACATTTGGAGGTGGATGACGTCATATGTAGTATCACAACAATTGCATCATAGTAATCAAAGTAAACACAACCATTACAATATAATATGAATATTTACATTGTTGTTTGATACAAGTATATATACATCAAAAGTAGCAAAAGATAAAGACAAGACTCCAAAACGCTCCATCTTCTCCAAAAAGTTGGCTAGTGTACCTATCTACTATTGTCCTAAGAATACAAGCGGTTTTGAAAACATATCAGCATAAAGCCGGTGAGTTCATAAGCATGTTTTTGAATTGAAAACTAGTCACTGAATTTGTATAAATGTTTGTTTGATTTTCCAAAAAAATCCAATATTTTCCATCATGTTTGTTGATTATAGTATGAATAGTATGATCCGTTTGAAAACCCTGGCTACCACCAGTATGTATGCTCTTATTTGAAAACCCTGGCTACCACCAGTATGTAAAGTAGTCTTATTATTTAAAATAAAACCAAATGTTGTATCCTTCGAATACCCTCTAGTGTAGTATGTAGGTAGTCTTATTAATTAAAATAAAACTATTGAAGAATGATAATGACGTAAACAAAAGTTAGTTTATACTATTGTGAGTTCGTATAACCATGCTAATATGATTGATGACCTCCGCAACGTTTCTTCAGGCGTCGTATGTTACGGAATTTGTCACCCCAGGCATGCCTGCCTAACCATAGCTAACAGTTCAGGCATGGGATTGTCGGTCCTGAATAGATCTATTCACAAATCTCACACTCTCTCTCCAGGAGACTCTGTCTATACTAAATTTAGAGGCTTTACTAGTACCCCGAAGGGTTCAATGAAGAGATGTCTCACAATCATGTATTAACTAGTTTACGTGTTGTTTTTTTGTTTTCGTGTTTGAAATCATTTGTGTACTATGTAGAGTATAAATAATTATACGCAAAATAATTATTTAGTATGATACTCTTGTTATCTGAAAGTAGAGATGACTAAACTAAATCTATCATAGTTTATATGTTCGACCGTGTATGTAGTTTGAATCTGTAAAACTGGTAATGAATTCCGCAAACTATACCTATTATAGTTTGACTGATATGTTATGTTCAGGTACTGTTCTGAAAACTATGCAATTATGTTTTGAAAACGTCCCTTATGCTCCGCATAATACAAAAGGGAATAAATGTCTATGTGTTTTATGAAGCGTGTCGGATCATATCGATTGCATAAGTTTTAACTTGTTGAAAACATTTCTGTTTTAGTTCACAAAAATCCTTTTGTGTTTGGCTTGTATTCCCCCTCTGAAAACGTTTAAAAACCTTAAAAACGTAGGGGTATGAACTCACTGTTTGCTTGTGTGATTCGAATGTAACGCCCGTGTTTCTAGGCTTGCCATTTTTAGCAATGTAATAGTCTAGGTTAACCTTGTAACTCAACTTGAAATAATAAGAATGTATTATTTGTGAATTATTTGAATTATGTGATTTATGTGTGTATTTTCTTAATTTTTATAATTTAATGAATTAAGAATAAAATAAGCATCAAAATTAAAGTGTGAGATAAGCCCGACATCTTTGCATAAAGTTGTAGTGGTCGAAACAAGGATTCCGGAGATATAAGGAATGCCAAAATCCGAGTTATAACGAAGAAGTTATGACTTGTCGAAGTTTCGCGACAGAACCGACACGATGCCGAGTGACGTAAAATATGAATTTAAGATAGAGCGATATTTAGCCTTAGCGATCTAAACAAAAGTCGTAGATTTCGTTAAACCGAGAGCGTGCATAAAAGGAACGCCCAAATCTGACTTCGTATGAGGAAGTTATGATTTTCTGAAGTTTCGACGTGGCAGTATGCAGCCCGAATACTTGATTTGAGATCGAGGGGTTTTTAGCCGAAACAATCTAAATGAGAATCGAAGATCTCGTTGTTAGTAGTGAAACGATGACAAGTTAGGCGAGAACGGACGTCAGACGAAGAAGTTATGAATTTATAACGAAGTTTTTTTGTCCCGTCCTTCTAAAAACAAATAATAAAAATAAAAGTCAAAATTAGCCAATGGAGTCTAAATGAAAGTTGTAGAGTATGGTCTGACCTTCGCGTGGATATAAAAAACGTCAAAAACAGAGCTCGTATGCGAAAGTTACGCAATTTAGAAGTTCGACGAGTCAATTACGCCCCGCATAATTTGAGTACGCCCAGCGTACTTAGTCGGATGCAACTTGTCTGACCGATACTCGAGTGCCACCAGTCGACGCACGCAGTGACGTCAAAGTACGCCCCGCGTAACCCGAGTACGCCCCGCGTAATCCCAGACCCAACAGCCTTTAAATAGAACTCAAATTCAGCCATTTTCTCTTGTTCAAACTCTTCCCTCTCTCTAAGTTTTGCCTCGTTTTGCGTGTCGTTTATGCCCCAAAGCCCCGGTAATATTCCCGAGCCCCGAAGTAAGATCCGAAGCCCCGAGGATCCCGAAGAGCGTTATTCCCGAGCCGAAACGCTGCCCGCGAGGAGCCCGGTTTTGTGAAGATCTTCCAGATCTACGGAGAAACACCTCTTCTGCAAGCCGTAGTGCTACCCGATCATCTTCTGATCAAGTGAGTGTGTAGTTATTTTCATTCCAACGCAATATTATGAAGTATTTCATATAAAATACGTGTTATGTGTATATATATTTGGTTGTTATACGTGTGAGTGTATATTCACTCTCTTCTATCTTATAGATCTGATGTATTCTCTATGAAATACGTGTTATGTGTGTATGCCTCATCTGTTATGTGGGATATGGATTGCTTAAAGCATGTTATACAGGTTTTTAAACTATGTATAAAAATGTATATTTTTATCTACTAATATGTTGGGTAGAACATGGGTAGATAATTGGTGTGTAATAAACAGATGAGAGGCCTCGGTGTTATTGGTGTTATTCTAATCATTCAGCAGAGTATGGATGACGACCACGGACTATTCTAGACTGTCCTGTGGAACACTAGCAGGCTCATTACCTGTAGGTGTTGTGAACGACGTGTTCACCGGTGTACTCTATCCCCCACATGGTTGCCTTTAGGATACTTATTGTTGAGGAAGCCCCTCTGCAGTAATGTCCATCCCGATGAAAAATCCTGAAATAGGTTCCTTTTAATAGACGTTATTTTTAGTAACGTAAAGTGAGGATAACGGGAATGGGTAATCGGGTTTATTGTGGATTGTTGTAATTAAATATAATTATTGTGGGTTTGAAAACCCTATATGCTCACCAGGCTCCCAAGCCTGACCCACTCAGTTTATTTGTATTACAGGAAGTGGCGCAAGAGCTTAAGATGGGCGAATCATCAAGTTGTTTTTGTTTACAAGTCTGTATATGTATATATTTGTTGAACGACTTGTAATGTTATCGTTTATGCTTTATGACCTGTATCGGAACATGACATCCCGACTTTTGATTATGAAATGAAATCGTATTTCTTTATGAAATGTTTTGATAAATATCTATTTTATCATGTTTTGTTTTTGGGAACAAATTCCGCATCTCTTTTAAAATTAAAAGGATTTACTTTGAAAATGTTTAAAAAGCATAAAGGAAACTGGTCTTTTCTGGCCGAGATTTTGGGGATGTCACAGTCGGGTCGATAGGGATGTTGAGTGTTAAGTGAAGCCTCGGACACAACCGGATCCTACATATATGTAATAGATTAGGATGTA